CAAGTATGTTCTTACCCATTATATATATATATATATATATATATATATATATATATATACAAATGATTACGCAATTCTTCAAATCGCATGTTAATATTAAACTGGAAAAAAGAATAAGAAATCTTCATTAATAAGGTAATAAAATAGCAAGGGTATTTTGTTCTCGTTCTTTCTTATACAATAGACATTTACATGACGATATATTTTAATATGTAGCCCATTAATTATTTTGAAATGATCGATACATTGAAATTATTGATCCATTCCACCCTGATTATCAATCAATAAAGGAAAAAGTAATATTAATAAGTATTTGTTCACTTTCAACATATAGACTGTCTATCTGTTTGTCTGTCTGTTTATCTATCCCCAACAATAGATCGACCGATCGATTGATCGATCGATCGATTGACCACTTTTGAGTTTGTATTCTCATATGATATAATAGACAATAAGAGTGATGTCATATTGTATGGAATAAACAGACATATATATATATAATGACTTATATAATTGTTCATATTGGTAATCGATAAAATCAAGGCTTCGTCGGGTATTTTTTTTTTGTCCTCATAGCTTGTATAGATAATAATGAATAAATAAACTTTTATTTTCTATTTTGGTTTATTAAAAATCATTAAAAAAACAGGTAACAAAACAAATTCATCATTTTTTGTATGGAATAATTTTCTTTTATGATTTTGAGATGGTGTAGAAGATTTGTAGCTCAAGTAGATGATTTTGATAGAGTTTTGTTCTATGAGCTGGATGGTTTAGTCATGAAGCTTTCATTGTTCTTTTGAACGATATCATCAACACAAACTTTAGATAAACTACTATCTGATGATGTCATTCAGAAGAACGATGAAAACTTCATGACTAAACCATCCAGGTCAAAGAACAAAACTCTATCAAAAATAGTTTTTTTTACATGTAAAGAACTTGTCAAAGTAATGTTGTTTATCTGAATTCTTTGAAGGCATTTCAAAAGAAAAAAACACTACTGTGATCATTACAAAATGGAATAGTTTTGTTGCTATTCTGAAAATGTAATCAAAACAAGAAACATGATTTAGACAACATAGAAATTTCCAAATTGCAATGGTATTTAGGAATGTTCAAGATAATTACGAATCAAACAGATATGTATGAATTCGGAGATACACTGATTAGAGTTCTAACACCAGTGACTCAGTTTTTCCTTTTGAAACAGCTTAATTTAAAATAAAACAGAAAGCTTGTTTTGTGGATATTATAGTCATTTTAAAAGTTGACATCATGAGCAGTACATATCGACGATTTCAGCTCGTACGATTCGAACCCAGGACCCAGGATCTGAAGAATTCCATAATAGGACGAAACGGCCGTCCAGTGTAACCAGCTTTTCCATGGTGATCTAGCTTCAATCGATTCATGATATCAACTATTAAAATTAGTTAGGAAAGTAAAAGACAATATTAGAAAATCATATTTTTCCGGTTGTTATGTTAAACCCACATAACTTATTCTATCTTCCGGACAGGTCAATTTATTCATTCTTCTTGTGTTACGTTTTAAACTTGTTAATTATTCACCTAACAATCCTGACTGTTTTTATATGAGCGAATATGAGTGTGCATTTTCTATCTTAATTATCACATGTCTACAACATATTATTGTGACTGTATATATCGAGTAAGGCTTGATTAAATTTAGTTCACATGAGTTCACCGGTCCGTTTCACTTCATTCACTCCGTCTCTCTGATTGTCTATTCGAATCAACGATTGTTATTCACCAACGCAAGTTAAGTCGATAATTATCTACGAGGATTTGCGGCATGCATATTAAGATAACAACAGCAAACGATCCAATTGGATTTAGATAGAGGGCCACAAAAAACTAAACTGATTATTTATCACCTAGACAAAGAATATATACATGCATTTTTACGCTTGTAAAAATGAATACATGAGATTGCCTTGCAATCCAATTTACCGACTTCCAGAAATTATTCACAATTGAAAACTAAAACCAACCAGGATGATCAAGAATAAGAAAAAACAAAGGTGTCCACAAGCTTTTAAGGTACCATGGGATTCTAGGATTCTCCAGAAAGAATGATAATGTTGGTACTGGGTTTGATATATGATTAATCAGACTACAGAAGAAAATAGCAAGATGGTCTCAATTGTCTTCTAGGTATTCATCTGTAAAGGGTTGTGGAAATTGTTAGGCTTTGACTGAAATCATAAACGAACAATTGTTAGACCACCATTGAAAACCTGAAAGCACTGGACAGCCATTTTATCATAGCATTGGGTCTCCTCAACAGTAAGCATCCATGGTTACGCACGCAGGATTCGAACACAGGAACTTTAGTCTTGTGCGCGAACGTTTAACCTCCAGACCACCGAACGGGCATTCAACGGTGTGGTTAGACTAAAATCAATCCACGATATAAACTATGAGAATTCAACAATTTCTGTAAATCCCTCTGGCAATAATTATAAACTGATAACTAAAATGTATACAAGAAAAAGTATATCTACAACTAACTAAAACAATCCATTGAATATGTAAATAATCTGGTTATTCTATTTTTTGTATCCTGGATATTTTCCGTTAATAATCTGGAATACAACATCCCTAGATTTGAAAACTTTTCTTTCTTCATTCGTTTTCGCAAGATAAAGTATTAAGAAGAACATCAACCAGCTGTAACTGTCCTTAAAAATCATAAGGCCTCGAGTAGAGACAGGTATCTACCTCAGTACAATGGAAGATGGTCACGCAATTTCGTGGATTGGTTGATGTTAGACAACAACACCATTAGATGTCGGCTCAGTGGTCCGGTAGGTTAAGCGTTCGCGCGCGAGACCGAGAGCCCTGAGTTTGAATCCCGCGAGCGGGATCTTGGGTACGTACCGCTGAGGAGTCCCACAATAGGACGAAACGGCCGTCCGGTGCTTCCAGTTTTCCAACGGTGGTGTAACATTAGTCGGTTCATGATCTCAATGAAAAACTTAATAATCTCCACAACCCTTGTACTGATAACACAGAAAACTTCGTATATTGATTAGATCTATCAAACAGAAATTTCTGATATTTTCAGTAAACTTCTGTAAAGAAAATATTGGCTAGAGTTTCGATGGGCATCAGATCATTTTGTTATGTAACATCATATTAATTTTCATTGAATACAACTAGATTAGTTATTCATAAGATATAGAGTTATCTTTAATAATATAATTTACAAATAACAGATGCCGTTGTACAAAATGGTCAGTGAATGAATCATTTTAATCTTAAACAATCATATCTATGCAGACACTTTTCTTTAGGTTAACAACTACATTTCTATAGTTGAAATTCTGAGTCAACTGAAGTTAGACAACCATAGAAAATCCACAAAAATCTCTTCTGATACCAAATTAAATTTCTATTAGAAATTCATTAACATACATTGTCCAAATCACAGATATACTACTCTATTAAGAAACTCAGTAATATTATCTTCAATTAGTTATACATAATTCATTTAAGATGTTATCCAAGGCAAATATGTGATCTTTTATATCAATACAATTGAATTGTTTATCAACAGACATCAAAACTGTCAATAACTAGACGTTGCTATGAATGAAAATAGTACTTAACTAATCAAAGAATTTTGATTATGGGGTTGTTAAGATTGTTGAATTTCATTGAAATCACGAACCTATCTAAGTTAAACTACCATTAAAAACCTCGAATCGCTGGATAGCAGTCTCATCTTACTATATGACTTCACATCTACAAACCCGTAACCTGGGCTCAAACCCAGAACCTTCAGGTTTCTAGAATGCAACTACTAACTGATAAATATCACTCAAGAGAAATTAATGTGAAGAGTGCTTAAACACAAATCCATTTTTTAAGTACAATTGTAATTAACAAGTTTATCGATTCCAGGAAATTATATCATCACCGTGTTCTTGAGACTTTTAGAAAAAAGAAGCTCAGGTGAGACTATAATTTATGGACGACATTTGAGCGACTCTAATCTGACCTTGAGAGTGTTCACCTAATATCTATGACCAAATGGGGGTTCTAAACCTGTGTAAGGAATTAGAATTAACGTCAGAAATTAGTTATCGGGTTTTCATCACGAACTAACATAAACTATAATACCGAAACTCTATTTAACCAATTTGGATGAGTGAATTTCGCGCCAATATCCGAGGCTTATTATCTTATACCTTATTGGTTCGTCTATAAATTATAGTCTCACCGAAGCTCAAAATATATTTTCAAAGGAATGCTTAAAGCATAGAAACGAAATTGAAATCTATTCAATAAATATCTCATTCCTAATACCATAATAATCCACAATCTGGGATTTAAGTCTCTTTATTTGGGCATCATCCAAGTTTCCCAAATGTTGTAGTTTAAAACGATTTTTTTTCCTAAGAATATAGAAACAAACTAAGAGATTCTAGAAATACATTAAAGTAAAAAAAAAAAACCAAAGGGGACAATTCACAGAAGAATTTGAGTAAGTCAATAAGTGAATGGGTAAATGTTTGTTTGAGTTAAGGCAGATAGAAATAATCACTGTTGCCTGTCTGTACAACCTCAATTAGGAATGAATGTATTTACATTTCTTACTATTGTGTACACATACACACATATATATATGCACACGAATGTAACCAGGTCTTGATTACTTTTTCACCTAGGCATACTTTCCAACCGAAAGTACACGTTTCTTTTCATCTTCTCTCCTTAATAATAATTATGTGGCTCATTTTTATCATTTATACATCTCTGTCTTATTTCCTATCTCTCTATTTTGAAATTCGCCTACATAAATAAATAGACATAGTTGTCGAATTGTCCATGGATCATAAACATAGAGACACTGAGCTGATATACGATACACATACTACTACTAGTACTACTATTACTACTACTACTACTACGACTACGACTACATGTTTATATACATGTGTATATGTATGTGTACATCAATACATATAGTAAATACAAAACACATATGTATCCATGACTCACAGACAGATTTTAGATACTTCTATTTGATTTGTTTTTTTTTCTTTTCTGGTTTTGTTTTTGGATAATCTACTTGTATTTCATCAAATCTTTCTGATCCACTACCAACTTCACTTTTGTAAAATGATTATGATTAAGATATGAGACAAAAAAAAATAATTTTCATCAATTCTATAGAAAGGTAATGATATACATTGATTTAAAGACAGATAAAGAAAGTCTTAATTAACTGACAAGACTCTATGTTATTGTATATTACAAATTAAAAGGATTTCTTTAATTATTATAACTGTGATTGTTCTATCAATTACATATGTATATATATCTTGAATAATTTGTGGATCCATGTGAATATAATCTACATTAAAGTATTGAAGAGTGATTATCTATATAGATAATCTATACATATATACATAGATACACAAAACTTACATTTAACACAACAAGAAGTAAGCTTATATTCCTTAAATAAAATGTAATATCTTTTATAGTATTACTATATAATGAATTATGTTTTAATTCATTGAATAGGTTCATGTTAATTTTAAGTTAAAATAAAAATCATCCGATGAAGTACACGTAGTCAGTTGGTCATATGATTTTGAGATGATGGAGAAGATATGTAGCTTAGTTAGACTTCTATCTGAAGTTTGTATTGATGATATCGTTCAAAAAGAATGATGAAAACTCCACAATTAAATCATTTAGTTCAGAGAACAAATAAAAAAAAACTCTATCAATGGAAGTCAGTCACCTGATTGACTTCAAGTGATTAACAGTTAGATAAATGATAAATTGTTACCATGGATTGTATATCTTATGTATACATTGTATTTCTTCCCATATATTTCATCGTACTTATCTACATTTCAATCAATATTGATTTATCTTAATGTGATTCAGTTAGATGATTTCAGAACTTTAAGTATCAAGACTACTTACACTTACTTACGCCTGTTACTCCCAATCGAGTATAAGCCGACGACTGGCGTTCTCTAACCCACTCTGTCCTAGGCCTTTCTTTCCTAGTCCTATCCATCTCTTGTTCATTCTTCTCATGTCTATCTCTATTTCTCCAAGTAATGTGTACTTTAATCTTCCTCTTTTCCTGCCGCCTTGAGGATTTCATGTGAGGGATTGCATTGTGATGCACTTGGATGCTTTCATCAATGTGTATTCTATCCACTTCTAGCACTTCTTCTTGATTTCATTCTACACTGGAATCTGATTTGTTCTCTTCCATAGTAGGTTGTTGCTAATAGTGTCCGGCCAACGGTTCCGAAGTATTTTGCGTAGACAACTGTTAATAAACACTTGTTTCTTATAGGCGATGGCTTTCGTAGTTCTCCAGGTTTTCGCCTCATACAGTAGAAGTATCTGGACATTTATATTGAAAATTCTGAATTTGGTGTTGGTTGACAGACAGTTGTTTTGAGTTCTACATTTGCTTCAGCTGTAAATATGCTGCTCTTGCTTTTCCGATCCGCGCCTTCACATCTGCATCAGATCCACCGTGTTCATCAGTGATGGTGCCCAGCTATGTAAAGGTTTGTACATCCTCCAAATCTGCTCCGTCAATTGTGATTGGATTGGTGTATGTTGTGTTGTATCGGAGAATCTTGCTTTTCCCTTTGTGTATATTGAGACCTATTGCTGCTGAGGCTGTCGCTACACTGGTCGTCTTTTCCTGCATTTGTTGTTGCGTTTGCGATAGAAGAGACATATCATCTGCGAAGTCTAGATCATCCAACTGCATCCTAGATGTCTACTGTATCCTATGTTTCTCTTCAGATGTTGACGCTAACCAGAAAATTCAGAAGTATCAAGATGTTACTTAGAAAAAAAAATTTATAACATTTTCTAGTTCTTTTATGCTATAAGCTAAATAGTTTACCCTGGAGAATCCTCAGCATCTATCTAGACAATACTATCATCATGGTTATCATCGGTGTATACTTGAAAAAAAATAATGTAAGCTATTAGAATAAATGTATACCCATATCTCATGATTGAACCGCCTACATAGATTAACAATAAATAATATCATTATAAAAGTATGAAATCTATATTCCTTTATGACATAACAGTAGGGATTTAAGAGATGATTTTAATCGGCTTAATGAATTTATTTCCAAAAAGATCCAGAAAAAAGTAGATTTGATATAGACTGTTACATAATATATCTATTTTACTTAATAGACACTTCAATAATCGTTTAATACTATAATAAAAACATAACACTGGTTTTTATGTGTGTTTTTGCTGTTGTTGTTGTTGTTGTTGTTGTTGCTGTTGTTGTTGTTACCATGTCATTGATTATGGCTTCTCACTAGAACCTTTGAAATTACTTCTTGTATCTATTGATTAGTAAACATGATGATAATTTTTATTCTATGATATTATAGACATAATTCGATGATGTTGTACATATTATGGACTATGTAACAGTAGACTTGAAAGTTTCGAGTTTGATCACCATTTCAATTTGTGTATCAGCCCTGCTAAGAAATTTCATGCTAGATAGAAATGGTTGTCCGGTGTTTTCTAATTTTTAACAGTTGTTTATGTTAAAATCAATCTATGAAGTAAATGAGAAGAATTCCGTAAAACTCCAGACCTTTTTTATCATCAACATTACATCGAGTTTCACACACATTACTTACTTACTTAGGCCTATTACTCTCAATGGAGAATAGGCCACCGAATAGCATTCTCTCTTCCTTTCTAGTTCTATCCAATTTTTGTTCATTCTTCTCATGTCTATCTCCATTTCTCGGCGTAATGTATTCTTTGGTCTTCATCTTCCCCTTTGGCTTTGATGATTCCATGTGAGCAATTGCCTTGTGATGCAGTTGGGTGCTTTCATCAGTGTATTTCCTATCCACTTCCAGCATTTCTTCCTGATTTCTTCCTCCGCTAGAACCTGGTTCGTTCTCTCCCGTAGTAGGCTATTGCTGATAGTGTATGGCCAACAGTTCCGTAGTATTTTGTGTAGACAACCGTTAATAAACACTTATTTCTTCTAGGTGATGGCTTTTATAGATTAATGCCAATACTAAATACTTTATTCACAACCACATGGCTGATATTAATTTTTCTATATCCAAATATAAAACATACATCCTACCATATTTAGAAAACATCTCCGAAACTAGTGAAAGAATCCTAAAGCCGTTTGGCAACAATATCGCTCACAAACCGACATTATCACTTCATTCCATTCTGTGAAGACCAAAAGAGATAACAGCTACGGAACATAAATACAAAATCATTCAAAAAGACGCAAAGAATATTCCATATGCTAAAGTCAGTGCCCACTTCACATACGCATAAATTAACATTGATTATCTGTGGACCAACATGATATACTATATCACTGATATCAATCCATACAGACAACCATGGACGCAGATTCGACAGGAAAATTTCAGCATTCTGGATAGGAAAAATCCGCGAATGCTAGAAAATCTCCAGAAGTATAGCTTTTAGATCAACTCTCAATCAACAGACACATCGATATTGATTCAATCTATAAGCCCATAAGGAAGAGGTCAATCAATCATAAAGCTAGAAGTCAAACAACAAAGACACTCAATGTGAATCTAAATGCAAATGAATACGATAAAACCTACGAAGACAGACAGTCATGAACAAGGCGATCAGAATGAACTGGTTTAAAACTTGTGGAATAGCTGAGAAATTTGCTTCTACATGAAGTAAATGCTAAAGATATTGAACAAAAGAACAATGGAAACTTTGTAATTAAACCATCTGATTTGGAGAACTTGGAAATCCCCAAAACATACCTATAAGTTGATGCAAAATCACAATGAAGATCTAATTTGAAAGATAGATGTCAATTTATACTTCTCATATGGATATGAATAGAGTTAAATTAAGTCTAGTTGAATGAGATTAGCTATTGTAATGATGTTATTTTAGAGTTATTTTTAAATGATCTTAAACTACTACTACTACTACTACCCATTTTGCCACTAATTTTAAAGATTGCTTATGTAATTGTCTGTAAATTTTCTTAGTTGAATTCATTCAGTGTATTATTGCGGAAGTTGAGTTTCTGAGCTGTACGGTTTAATGGTGATAAATTCATTATCTTTGAGGATAACATCACTACTATCAATTGTAAACTGATAGAGTTTTTTCACAAGTTTCATGACTAGATCATCCAGACTAAAGGACATGATATTTTCACAATCCTATAACTATATGAAGTTTAAAGTATTAAAGTTGTTAGATAATTTAAAGGTCAGGGTTGAATAGACTAATAATCTATTAATAAAGAAACCGATACTTGAATTACTATTGCAAACTGAATAAATATCAGAATATAGAATTCCTATCCAATTGAATAAATGTGTTATTCTAATAGAACATAAATTATTAAGTAGCAGAAATGATATCAAAATAGTATGGCTAGAAGTCAATTGATCATGCCTCGATTAACTCAGTGGTCACATCACATACTTTGAAGTTGGACAGCCTTACTTTAAACCTCATAAAAAGGATTACTTCTCACAGGATTGTAGGTACTCTTTTTTTGACGAGTGTCAACTAGCACAAAACGTAGGACGACCACTTCTAACCAACTTACCTATCATCTACCACATAGATAACTAATGATGAATATAATTATATATGAATGTAAACTTTAAGAATTTCAATTTTCTGAATACGTTTTCGGCTCTTAAAATCAATGCTTAGAATTCTTACAGTTATATGATATGCAATGACAGGATGTGGCTATGTGATACCTACTCACGAAACGAAATTATCAAAGTAAGCACCCTGAATAATTTGAAATTAAAGACGTGATCATCAGCTGAAAGAATGAATTTACCTAATAAACTAACACACTTATAAGCAATGATGGATAGTGGCTAGCAGTGAAATCTAGGATTCATGTCTCGTCCTATTTGGATGTACCTGCATCCCAGTGTTGATGTTCACTCGAGGATTCGAACCCAGTACCGTTCGCTCCAAACGCCATTACGTTGTTCACTTAGCTGCTGAGTTCTGATAGCCACGTGCTTGTACAGTGGCGTGAAGTTTTTTAAATTCACTTGGTATTGTTTTACTTGTATCTTCCCATTATTATTAAGGATTGCAATTGATCAGTCTCTTGTGGACATATGTGCATCGGAACAAGATGCACATCGTTCACTCTTCAATGAATGAAGTCATATCTGTTAAGTCTAATTCTAACCCATCAAATCAGTCTAATGTGATAATAATTCTTACATTTAAGTTAATTACTTATGAATAAAATTCTATATAACAAAATGACGATCCAAGATCTTTTACAAGACTATAAATTGTTTAGAACATTTAACTCTTGAAGTTTGGTTAACTAGTGTCAATTGCTTGATGAAAACCTCATACTATGATGATAAGTATTCTATATATGTTAGAAAAGAGCAAACGTCTAATC